CGACAGCCAATACACTTTGATCTGGTCTCATCACTGGCCCATTATCCCCTACTTTCGATAGGCTACTCATACCTTCCGAGAGATGAGCAATGGATATCCGTATTCCGTCGAAAAACATTAATAAGGTTGTGAATGGTCCTTTGCTCAATGCGTAGAAGCAGTAGAACCAGTGCAAAGGCGGCAAAATGAACCCTCAAAACTAATCATCCTCGTCAGCAATTATATGGGGGCACTATGGCATATGAAGATCTAAGCACACAATTGGGAGACCTCTACCTTTGCTACCAAAGCACAATCTGCCTAAATAACCTGTTTGGTTAAAAAAGGAACTCTGCCGTTCTCCATCTCAACATCCCTTACCTCTGTAAAAACCACCCTTCTGCACACGCTAATTATCGGACCCTTTGATTTCAAGCAATAATGAGCAGTGGCTCACCAAAAAAGCCTAATGACAACGTGAAGTCCGAAAACAAAAGTATGTGAATGAATACTCGCAGATTGCTTAGTCCACGTGAAAAGCGTCGCCGCACCGTAACCGCGCGCCTAATATTCACAAGCTGCCTCCTTGCAATTTCGGTGATTTCTTTTGATTCAACAATGCTGCCCTGTAGCTACCAAAATAAAACTCTTTCTCCACAAATAACAAAACAAACAAACAAAATTTAACACAGCCTATAAAAGACTTACAGCATCAATATAATGGCTGTTGCACAGATGTTTCTTCGACGTTATAGCTTTTTCGTAGACAGCTTTCATCTCCTTCAAATCTGCCGACGATGAAACCATCAGCAAAGTGACGAGAATCGCATTATGCGGTTTATTGACAGATACATAGCGCAGCTTTTCCTGCTTGTACATTTTCCCACATAACATACAGCTCCTCCGAACCATTTTTGCCACATTCAACACCGGACCTTCTGTAGTCAAACTACTTCAGTACTTGACCGAAAAAAATAGTTACTTTAAGAACACCAAAAGAAAAAATCGAGGTCGAAAAAGGTTTCAGCTCTATTAACAAGAGAANCTCCATCAAAATCAATGAAGGGTCAGAAAAGAGCGATGAATCGGTTAGAACCACAGGACCAATGGAAGCTGCAAATTGTTGGTCTGATGTAGGCCCTCCTCTTCGACACCCATTGCAGGTTGTCTATCCAGAGGTATTGTACAAGTGACAACTTAAGGTACTCATAGTATACCCTGAACCCCTGAAATCCCATCCCTTACTACTAGTATGCAATGATTGTGATTTAGGAAAACAGTGTGTGGAAACAAATGTGAGAACGAGCAAATATGGTAATGAAATGAAAAACACCGATTTTGAAACGGCGAAAAACGTCCAAAAAATGATACCCTACATAGATTGGCATCGTATTGGAACATGTTCGTCGAATTGGAATGATTCTGCCTCCTAGACAAGAAAATATCAACTTTAGGATGTATTGGAGGCACAGTCACAAGCTACAGCTACTGAAAGGTCTTTGCGTTCAAACCCCAACTTCTGAACTTCTGCTTCAACCTGCTCCCATCAGACAAAGGGTGAAATATTCATCGAAAGTGGATGCAGATCAAAATTTCAGAGTCCGACTTCATCTAAAACCTCCATCTAAAAAACAGCTAAAGAAGGCGCTTTTGGTGTAGAATAAATACCTGCTACAGTCTGCTGTGCTACTGTAATAAAATCACTGCTCGAGGCAGATGGATAAAAAAGGATAAAGTCTCCGGTGGTTAATCAACCCATCCGAGTGACGCGCCCTGCATTCTACTTCCATTCAGAACCGTGGTAGCGTAATGAAAGCGCATGTGGCCTAAGCGATGACTGCGGTGGCCGGGCGATGTTCAAGTCAGTGCTTTCATCCTCCCATCCGAGCCTCGTACCAATGAACCGACCCAGGAGGGATGGGAGGCTTGGTTGTGCTAGGCGGATACCGATCTGGGATCAGAACCAGTGACCATGCTTGTGCGATAGTGCGCCTTTTGCCAATACACCATCTCCACTCGTGTCGAACAACATTTCATTCAAACTGAGCAGTTTCGTATTGGGATGATGAATAACTACTAGCAATTAGTCGTATAATTTTCCCCTGTTATCGTGTCTTCTCACTCACCGCTTCTCTCATATCTTCCAGACGGTCAGAATCTCTTCCACCCGTCCTGGCAAAATTGGGGCTGAAGGCCATTTCTTGACGAGAGGCGGGCGATTGCACCACCCCTCTTCGGATTCGTAGCTGTTATTAGTTAGTTGCCTCGAAACTTCTTAATGCACTTCCTCTCCGTCTCTACCAAAACCAATTTCGCCCAGACTTGCATCGCGGCAAGAGGAAGGGCACACCGTTGTGTTGCTTGAAGCAACCCTTACATGCCCCCCCCTCCCCTGAGTCAGCGGCCTTACACTATATATGTGAGCATCTGGCAGAAGTTTAAGCGTAAGAAGTGTCCTTGTAATAAGTGTCCTGAGGAGTTTTCAGACCCTATTCAAGATGTCTCCCTTGAAACGGGTTTTCCGAACATTTTCGTCCATGTCCGAAAACACTACAGAAAGGGTACTCAACGCTGTGAAGGGAAATCGACACCGCTCTCGGTAAGACTTTTGGACAGTTGACAGCCGTGCCAGTCTTGGCGACATTAAGTGCGATCGTCTTGAACATACAATTGAATCAACTCATCACAGATGACTACCACCCTAACGGTAATATTGCCATCTCTTACTGGGTAAAACAAATCTGTAGTAGGGTAGGGGTTGCCAGTAGGGTAACTCCCAAATCACAGTACTACTTGGAACAAAAGGTGCGGCCTTTTGCCCCATTCCTGGTGGTAACTCAGGAATCATATGAAGTTGTCATTCAATTGATCGCATTTACTGAAGCTCAAATACAGTAAAATGCAAGAAGGGACCATTTCATTGCGTTTTGTGATCAGAGCAGCCAATGTGGAAGGAACTTTCTTAAAGTTTAGTAGAACGTAAAGTATGAAAAAGAGGAAAGCTGTCATTTAGCGGGTTTTAGCAGCCAATAGAAGACGATTCATTCACGAAACCATTCTACTCTTCAAAGAAAAAGGAAATAAATAATAATAAAGGAAATGCGAAAGAAAAGTGACGGAAACTGTCCGATTACGTGAATCAGCGGGTAAGTTCATGCACCGTTTGAAACAAAAAGTTGGAGCCAAGCGGGAAGCCCCAAGGACGAGCTCACAGAGCACCAGTCACAACGATTCTTATTCTCTGGAAACTGTTACTACATACCTATTTTCCCTCATAACTCAGTCAATGGCATATAAGGAATTTATAAAGGTGATCAAGGTGCAAAGTATCTTCTTCCAGCTTGAGTTCCTGCCATCGCCCGTGGGAACTATCGTTCCTTTAGGTTTGAATACTACTTAAAATATGGATTTATGAAGAATTAGAGCGAAGTGGCTCGAGGTTTGTTGGATCAAATATCAATATCAGAAAAAAACGAAAAGAAGCGAATTAAAGAGACGGCTGTAGAGGGCCGGTTCAAACATGGAATGAACCATAAAGATCTACCCAAGGAAGTGGGTAGAAGTAATTTATTGGTAGAGAGTACTTCAACGGAAAATGCAAATCAATACAAGGATGTGAGCGAAAATGCAATGGGGAGTCACGCCCAACGTAAGAACGCAAGACAGCTGGGCGGGCGGACGAGCGAAGGCACATCGATCGAGCGAGGGTGCTACCACACAACGATGCCCCAGTTAACACAGAACGTTCCTAGGGATAATTTCCCTATCTCTGAAGTTTCCCTAACTTGAATTATCACTCAGACTACCACGTAGAAGTAGTAATACAAGTTTCCAACTATGTGAAGTCTCAGTGAAGGAGGAGTCAAGGAAGGGGTGGGGGTGGTTGGCTGTGAAAATTGCGTGAACTAATCATAATAGTCGATTAATAATAGTTATGGTAGGTGATTAGAACCGTATAATCGATTGCCCCTGATCGATAATCGATCACATTTGTCGGTTCTGTTGACAAAAATGGTCATAGAAGGGCATGGATCACATCTGACTCCTTTTTTTTGGGAGTGTTGTGGTTTATACGGAAACCCTCCCACTTCGTATGAATACAAATCAGAAGTCTGTGCGGTCGAAGTAGGTGAAACGCGATAAACCGGATTTATCAGCCTTTTTTAGATTAGGGCCTTTTTTGAAATAATTAATTAAAGGTGAGTAAAGGTTGGTTTGGCGCAGGTCTCGCTATATCGATGGTGTTTGGCGAGTCGCCAACAGCCTATTGGCAATCGATATTGCGACGTTTAGAGTAAATTTTTTTGGAAGCCATGGTTTTCTACTGCTTTTCAAGTCATCCTGGGTTCGATTCATCGATATTTACACCATTATTTCACTTTTTGTCATTATACTCGTTGTTTCGGAGCGTTTTGATTAATTGTATTCAATTAATCATGTCGAAGCTGATAGGTGAAGGCAGTGTGACGTGTGCTTTATGTCTTTGATTCCGTTTTTCTTGTGATTCTTTGTAGTCTACTTATTTCTAGACTTGGGATGATTCGATTCATTCTTATTCAAAATCGGGCAGGGAAAACTCGACTCGCAAAATGGTATATGCATTTCGATGATGATGAAAAGCAGGTAAGCGGTGGACCAATTCTTTTTTTCTATTCATGTTACACTAATTAGTTGTTACTGACTTGTTGTATGGGATCTTTTGTAATTTCGAAGTCGAACCCCCTTACATCTTTTGGTGCGCATCTTTTCTTCATCCTGTACTGTAAGAAAATGGAGTTGAAGGATTATTAATAATCATAACGAAGAGTTTGTGGGTTATTGTTTCAACTGATTCCGTTAGTTGACATTCTTGCCTCACACGCTTGGGAAGGAACAAGATTTCGCGTTCATATAAACTCCAAAATTTCTTGAGCTTTTGATATTTCAGGAGCTTTATCTTAATTGACCATCGACCCTAACCATTTTTCTGAAAAGATTTTTGAAAATTAAGAACTTCTTGAGATAGCTTGAATAAAGAGAATTTCAGAAGCTGATCGAAGAAGTGCATGCTTGCGTCACTGTTCGAGATGCTAAACACACGAACTTTGTGGAGGTCTGTTATATAGTTGTTTCAGTTCTTTTCACATAAAGCTTCATCATTTATGGCACCCGAAGCGTTAAGAAACCAAAATCGCGAACCTTTATAAAGGGAGACATGATGAAACTGAATGATTATTTAACTTTTTTAAAAACTCTCCTAGGACTAAATCCACTAGAGACATGGAGTAGAATCGCATCACCGTTCTTCCCGATCTCATTTTCGATTTAAATAAATTACGTGGAGAAGAAATCATAATTACAGCTATAGTATCGGTTCAACTGACCGTATAGCGTGCTGAGTTTTGTTGTATAAATTTTATAGATGAGCAAATTCCGTTTGGATCATTTGTATGAAAAATAAACTTGTAACTTCTTACTTTGCTGTTTTCTTTTCCAAAATGATTAGAAAAGTGATTATTTCGTTTTCGATATGAATAATCCAAGTTGGCTATACTATATATTCGCGTCGGGCAGTTACTTTTCTTTTGCCATTTCGAATAAATAGTATGCCATGTGGTATAATTATGTACTCTCTCTTTAATAACATGTAACTAGAACTGTTTCAGTTCCGAAACTTCAAAATCGTTTATCGGCGTTATGCTGGATTGTACTTCTGTATCTGCGTCGATATTATGGACAATAATTTGTATTATTTAGAAGCCATTCATAATTTTGTAGAGGTGAGTTAAACAACTTATGTTTTTGACATTTGTTTATTTCCCACTTGGTCGGGCTTCCCCTTTCCATTGACTAATTGTTCTATCAAAAGGTAGTTAAATAATGCTTAAAACAGCCAGCTACTAGACGGAGAGTGAGTTCTCGCTCACACTTATACTATTGCTGACTAATTCCCGCTCTACTTCGACCTTTCTTCTTTTTCCGCCTCGATCACTGGTAACCTTCTATTGTTGAATTTTAGGTTTTAAATGAATATTTCCATAACGTCTGCGAGTTGGATCTTGTATTCAATTTTTACAAGGTCAGTATTTTTCTGAGTTCCACTCTTTTCAACATTCCTATTAACTTAGGGACGTCTGTGTGGCGTTCTGCTTAGCTGAGGAGGTTTGTACAAATGTGGTGTGCACC